GTGGCAACTGTCAAAATGTTCTTTGTATCTATGAGTCTGTTTCTGTTCTGCTTGTTCATTTATTTTGTTTTTTGTTTTTTCTTAGATTCCACAAGAAATCACATGGCATTTGTCTTCCTCTGTCTCACTTATTTCACTCAGCACAATACCCTCTAGGTCCAAGCATATTGTTGCAGTTGACAAAATTTCATTCTTTTTTATGGCTGAGTAATATTCCATTATATATATATACCATTTCTTCTTTAGCCATTCATCTATTGATGGACACTTAGGCTGTTCCATGTCCTGGCTATTGTAAATTATGCTACAATGAACATATGAATGCATATGTCTTTTTGATTTGGTGTTTTGGATAAATACTTAGAAGTGCAATAGCTGGGTCCTTCTTTGTCCCTTGTTATAGCCTTTGCTTTAAAAGTTTATTTTGTCTGGTATAAGTGTTGCTACCCAAGATTTTTAAAAAAATTTTATTTCCATTTTCATGAATATCTTTCTCCATCCCTTTACTTTCATTTCAATCTGTGTGTCTTTCAATTTGAAGTGAGTTTCTCATATACAGTATTTGTAAGGGTCTTGTTTTGTTATCTCTCAGCCACCGTACGTCTTTTGATTAGAGCATTTACTCATTTGCATTTAAAGTAATTGTTGATATATTTTTATTGCCATTTGATTATTCGTATTTTTTATCTTTTTTTTCTTCTTCTCCTTCCTAAAGATGACCCTATAACATTTCTTGTAATACTGGCTTGGTGGTGATGAACTCCTTTAGCTTTTACTTGTCTGAGAAGCCCTTAATTTCTCTTTCAGTTCTAAAGGATAGCCTACATGTGTAAGGAGCCTGGCTGGTTCCGCTTCACCTTTTTGGATAAGTTCTTCCACCTAAAAGTCACCATGCATTGGTTCTCTCAGGCACTGGTGGAGCAGAAGCAGGATTTGACAGAGAAACAAATGAAGGATGCACCAATGGAATAAGTGGTCTGCCTTCCAACCAGCAGCTCCAGCCAGTCACATGCCCAGGGTATCCCTCATATCAGCCCCTGGTCCAGAAGGCTAGCGTACTGACCTGCTGTTGTGAAAGAGCGAACAGTGGGCTCCTCCAGAAATGGGCTCATCTGACCCAGCCATCCTCCTCAAGCTGGGCATCTGTCAGTGTTGGAAGACACTGCTGGTTTCTTAGGCATCCAAGACGCCCCTTCTTCAGCCATTAGGAACCGCTCTTTAAGGCAGCCCTGCGTGCCCCCTCGTGGCAGTAGAAGGAAGTACAACCTCCACCTGAACCCGCGTGCACCCCCTTCCCTTATGACTGGGACGATAAACACATTATTTATTTAAAAAAATTTTTAATTTTAGTAAATACTCTTACCCATCGTGGACAGCAAACTATACACATTTTACTGAAGCACTATTTGATAGAAGCCCTTATTTATTTTGTGCATCACAACTATAAAAATGGCTTTAACAGTTCCATTTAACAGTATAATGTGCAACGACATAATATTCTGCATTTTATCTGGGATGCATGAATGTACCCTAGTTGCCAATTTCTACTGCTTCTGAAAAGATCTAGATGTGTGAAAAGGGACTGTCCCCCATACAAAAGTGACTGTGCCAAGAGCTTTAGCCCTTTTTCCAACCCTCAGCCCCTAGATGACTGTATGGATAGGCCTTACACATCGTTTGGGTCTCAGTGCAAGTGTCAGCTCTTCAGAGAGCACTTCCCCGGTCCCCTCCACCCCTGACTTACAGTGACATGGCCTGGCTTTTTTTCTTTAAACAGCATTTTGATATTTTCTATTTAGCAATGTATTTGCTTATTTTCTTCACTAGAGAGTATACTCCAAGGGCAGTACTTTGTCTATCTGGTTTACCGCTGTTATGGTGATCTATTGTGCATAACGAACCATCCCAAAACTAGGGGCTTAAAACAATTTATTGTTATCTCTTGTGGCCTTGTGGGTTGACTTGGACCAGCTGGATTCTGTAGGAGGTTGGGTCAGGCGGTGGCTGAGGCCACAGTCATCTGAAGGCTTTACTGGGCTGGATGTCCGTGATGGCTCCCCCGCAAGATCAGCACTTGGTGCTGGCTGTTGGCTGGGAGCTTAGTTGGGGTTGGCCACTGGAACACCCACACGTGGCTGCACGTGGAGAACGGATGGAATAGATGGAAGAGAGGCCAACCTGATAACACTTGGACCAGGCAAGAATGGTGGAAATGGTGAGAAGCGGGTTCTGGAAGTGTTTATATATTTGAGGTCAGAGGCAATAGGGTTAGCTGATAGATTTCTGCGGGTTATGAAAGAAAGGGAGGAGTTGTGGATGACTATAAGGCTTTTGGCCTGAGCACCTGGGAAAATGAAGTTGCCATGCATGAGATGGGAGAAGCACGGTAAGGAGGAATCAAGAATTTGGCTTGAGATGTTATGTTTGGGATGCGGGTTAGACATCCAAGTGAGGATATACAATAGAATGGAGTTAGGAAGGATATAGGGGGTGCATGTGATCACTCAGCCTTGAGGTAACAAAAGCCTGTGCTGCAGAGAAGCCAACAGATGGATGTGAAGAATGTTCAGGAGGAACATTGGACTTCGTGACGTTGGACAGGGAGGAAGAGGAAGCGTCAACAGTGATGGTATGATTGTGAACCTCTTGCCCTAAACAACGAGGCAGGAGCTTTAGCTGGTCTTGCTGATAAAGGTGTTGAGCTTAAGAAGGTGGGACACCCAGATGGACATGCACCAACAATGTGCAAAGCCAACAACCGCTGGTGGAAAAGACCAAAATAAGAATGGAAAAAGATTGTGTCATAGACTCAGAGGAGTGGTTGTGGGGTGGAGATCAACATGTCCTGAGCACCTACTATGTGCTAGGCACATTGCTAGTGCTTTACATTCGTAATTGCAGATAGCCCTTCAAAGGTGCCCACAGGGCTGGTGTCATCATCCTAGTTTACATGTAGGAAACTGAGGCCCAGGCAAGGTGTGGGGATTGCTGGGTGCCTCAGGGGACAAAAGTGGCAGAATGGGTTCCCTGCCTTGATGTGGTGGTAAAAGTCTCTGAGTAACTCTGAGAGAGGTAATCTCTGAGAGTGGTATAAGATAATAGAATAATACCCAGTACCACTTACTGAGCACATATTATGTGGCAAGTGCACATGTATCTTTATCTTGAAACCTCACAACAACCTTAGGAGGTTTTATTCCCATTTTAAAGACAAAAAAAGTTGAAGCTCAGAGGTTTAACATCTTCTCCAAGGTCAAATAACCAATAATGGCAGGAGTTAGGATTCAAATTCAAGACCCTTTGACTCCAAAGACTGTCCTCTAAAAGAGGTTTGAAAGCTGTGTCCTCAAAGACCCTAGGGATCACAAAGGGGAACTCGGGTGCTTCAAATAGGGAAGCTCTGCTTTTCATGGTTTTTTGCACTGAGACTATTTGGAAAAATAATTTTTGTATAAAGAATTTGGTTTGTATTTATGTCATGAAGGCCTTAATTGTGAATTAGAGAGGGGATGGGAGCTGAGAAAAAGCCATTGGATTTGGAAATAAGAAAGTTGGTGGTGACCTGGGTATAGGCAGTTAAATCTTACTGGTTGCTAGCAACAGAAACAAATTCTGGCTATTATAAGCAGAGAAGGAATTTGTGAGAATGGTGTGGGCATGTAGTGTGCATCTATTCTCCCTTCCTAATAAGTCGCCTTAAGTTAGCCCCTATTGGATTCTTCGTCTTACAAGTAGTAGAATTAGAGGGAAGGCTAAAAGAACCTAGTTTGGAAAAAATGGTAAACAAGGCACAACTGAGTCTTCCCAGGGCATCTCTGAATAAGCGCCATACATTTTCAGGTCTTTAGCCATTCATTGCTCAAGGTTAAGATTGCAGGGAGAGAGTCTGTTTGGCCACTCTTTGGGGATAGGGCAGGCACTTTGATCAGCGGACCCCACTGCCTCCCTGTCCTGGGTGGAGGAAGACTCATTCCCCCAAAGCAAAGCCAGGTACTGTTATCAGAAAAAGAACAAACAACTGCTAGGTAACAAAACAGCAGCCTAGCCAGTAGACTCAGAGGGAGAGTTTCCCGTGGAGTGGAGGAAGTTTGTGGGTTCAGTGGTCCAAGAGGATGAGGCCTCATTGTATAGCTAAGACACCCTGTTTGTTCCGGGGAATTTTTGAAATCGTCAAGGTTAACTTGTTTATAATCATCTTAGAGTGGGTGTGTCTGTATCTGACTAATATCACCTCCCATTGTAAACCTTTCCTTTTTTCCTATTTCCTTTCTTTTCTTCCCTGATAAATATTATTTTATGCTCATGAAGTCATGTTCAAAACCTTTGATGCATCACCTATGCTAACCTCAGGGGTGTGCGTGTGTGTGTGTGTGTGTAACATTGAAATTACTGGGACCACATGACTAAAAGCTTGTGGCAGTGAGTTTCTTCTGGTTTACTGGCTGTGTTTCCTCCAGTAAGTCACTCTCATAGCTGAATTTCAGTTTCTTTATCTGTAATGCAGGAATAACAATAGTTAATTCATAAGATTATTAAGTAAATACTAGCTACCTTTAACTGAATACTTACTATGCAGCTATCCCAGATGTCACAATATTAAATGTCTTCCAGGCCAGGCAAGTAATGTGAATGGAAGTAGCTGGAATGGGGGTGAGGGCATGTGAGACAATTAGGAGTAGTAGAGATTATAAGAAAGTGGAAAGAATTCTCCCCTCATAAAATGAGAGCAGTATCAGCATCACCTGGAAACTTGTTGAAATGCAAGTTTTCACCTGTTAAAGTCAAAAAGAGCCTGGAGGCTTTGCTAGAAATAAATGATAAAGTCGAGTCTTACTGTTTGCAAACTGGAAACATAACTAGGAAGAGACCCAGCAGTGTTCCAAAGAAGAAAGAGAAGTTAAGAGTTCTTAGAGTAAAAAGTGTGTTCTGGGAAATAACGAGTCCTCCATTCTTGGGCTGATTCAGGACAGTTATCAGTTAGATGCCAGGAGGCCGGGAGGATGAGCAACGGAAGTCTGGTCACGAAAAGCGGTTTGGACAATGGATACTGGGCGGTCTGCTTACGTGAGTCCTGCAGGGGGCAATCGGACGGGTATCTGGAGGTTTGATATATAACCAGGCACTGATGCAGGACTGGAAAGTTCAAAAGTTTAAGTTCCCAGGCTCGTTAAAGCAAGAATAGAATGGTTTCCTCATATCTCAACCTACTTGATTTCAGTCATTTAGCAGCTTGACTATAGTGACTCCATTTCATTTCTCCACTCTCTTCCTCACATCCCAGACCAACTGAACCAAAGCTCTGGGGGTAAAGATCTCCCAATCTGTGTTTTAACAAGCTCTCCAAGTGATTCTGATGTTTGCTCAAGTTTGAGACCCACTTACTGCTACATATGACTGCAGGACTGTGTTGCCAGATGTTTTATTTTTTCCAAGAGAAGCTAGACATTTATTTTTTTAAAAAATATATCTTTATTGATTTCAGAGAGAGGAAAGGAGAGGGGGAGAGAGAGATAGAAACATCAATGATGAATCATCGATCGAGCCCCCAACGCGGGCATGTGCCCTGACTGGGAATCGAACCCTGATCGCCTGGATCCTAGGTCGATGCTCAACTGCTGAGTCACGCCCGGCCAGGCTAGACATATATTTTTATGTGAAATCCCCTGCTTTCAAATCTTGGCAATGAGTTCAAATTTTAAAAATGTACTGTGTGGCTAACAATAGATATGTTTTGGCCAGATTTGCAACCTCTGGTTTATGCTTTTTGCCTTTAATTCTTAAAATAAGGTGGAGGAAGAAGATGTAGGTCCAAAAAGCCAAGTGTCACTCTAAGTCAATAGCCAGGAAGTGGCCAGACCCTGATTTGGACCTGAATGTATTTGGTTTTAAAGCCTTTACCCTTTTTACTTTTTATGTAGAAGAGAAAATATATGAATGTCCCTAGCACAGAGACTAGCAACAAAAAAGTGAAGCATCTTTTGCCTGCCATGGGCCACAGATTGACGAAAATGTCTTCTCCAGCCTCTGCCCCACCCCATCCCTCCAGCCTCAGGCTGATCCTCATTCCTGTAAAAGAGAGTCAAAAAAGGGGAGCCCATGAGGGCCGGGGAGTGGTGAGGCTGGGCAGTTTCCCGGCTGAGAAGCTGGGCAGGTCCCGGAAGAAAGCCGTGGGCAGCAGTGCCCAAGGCTGAATGTCCAGTAGCAAGCTGGGTCCGCAGGCTAGATCCGGCTGGTCACCAGAGTCCTCTGTGTGCCCTAGACCGAGTTTCAGGAACTCACCCAGCATTGTGCCGCCACCTGGCTCCTGCTCACTGCTGCTCACTTCTCTGAGCTCAGAGTAAACAGTCCTGGCCCCTCCCAGCGAAGGCATGTTTCTAGTCCCCAGGCTGGGCATGGGGAGCTGGGGAGGCATTCTCAGCCTTATCCATCTATGGGTACAACGGCTGGAGGTGAGACCTACTCACATGTCATCCCAGTGATCACTGCCCCCGACCCCCTTACAGCCTTCAGCAGCAAAGACCTCCTGGGGCTCACAGAATCTCAGATAGTCGGAGCAGGAAGGATATTGGAGGCACTTCTTGTCTAACCCCTGGGTAACCCTGTCTCGGCGTTTGCCAGCCTGGATTCTAAAGCTTGGTATATACTTACCAGTTTCCTTAGTAACAGGAGACGCCATGTACCCATTATGTGGCAGGGCTGTGTTCCTGTGTCCGTCATGTGGACCTAGCCCTCAATGAGCACACCGCTGTTCCATGTCAGCAGCATTACATTCATGTTCTCATTGAATTCTGATATTATCATCATCTTCGTAGATGACAAAATGTCAGCTCAGAACAGGGAGGTGATTCATTCAAGGTCCCTCAGCTGGAAAGTGGTGGAGGTCATCAAACCCCGACTCTCACCCCAAGGCCAATGCAGGAAGGTTCCTTTGACTGCTTTCTCTAAACCAAGTGTCTTGCCCCATATGTGTCACATCGTGGCCACCTAGAGAATATTTATGATGGAATGGGACCTGATTCAAAACCTTGTCTCTATAGCATTGCATGGGAGCGTGCCCGGGAGGGGTCTAAACCTCCCAGCATCCAGTTCATCCCTCATACGCAGCTGATGCTAAAGCAAACTCTATGCATAGGTTTGCTGGGAAGGTCCTGGAGACTCCATGAGACACAGAGCACAGAGCCTGGCTTACAGTCAGACTGTTAGACGGCTGATGTGCGAACGAGAGAGGGACATCCCCCCCCGCCCCCAACGGCTGGAGACTGCGAATAGGTGTTTCACCTATATGGGCCTCAGTTTCTTGTGTCCAAATGGGTTCACTTATTCGTAACAACTGCATTTTTTTTAGCCCTTACTATGGGCTCTGTATCAGGACACTAGACCTCCATCACTAATCCCTGACCCCAAATCCAACCACTTAATCCCCAGGCTCGATAGCCTCCCTGTAGGTCCCGCCCTCCGCACCCCCCTCCTACGACCCTGGGCATTACGGGGAGACCCCAGAGTGTTGGAACGCGACTGGGCAGCCCGGCTGGGCCTGACCCCTCCTCCCGCGGCCCTGCCCTCAGGCCCCAGGAGGGAGGAGGCGAAGGGGAAGTGGACAAGGGTCCGGCTGCGGCTGGTCAAGCTGCGCCTGCCTGGAAGCTGATTAGGTTCCTGGTTCCCACCGGGGCCAAGAGTGACACCTGATCCCAGGGGATTGTGAAACGGCGGGAGGTGGCCGCCCGCCCG